AACCAAATTTTTAAAAGTAGAAATATTCCTACTCCCAGAACTTCATAGGTGAGATTTTCAGTACTTCTATTATTTTTACTAAGGTGGTCAGCCTCAAAATGAGGAGATGATCCAGGTAATATATGTTTCAAATCCTAAATAAGCAAGTGAAACTACATTCTTGCTATGAAGTTTCAGCAAATAAGAAATAAATACACCAGTTTTGTTGTACTCAACTGCCTTGAGTTATTCCTACCAAGTTGCAAGGCAAGACTTCAGTGAGGCAGAGGAGGAAGAAGCCTGAAAACTGGCATTCTTCTTGGAACACAGGTTGAACACACTTGACTCTTAGTGCAAAAGTTGTGATTAATTTTCCACTTCTTAAGAGGCCCCTGAAATTATGAGATCAAGTTTACAAGTAACAAGTGAGCATCAGTGCCCTAGAGAGATTTTCCAAGAGGTTTCACAGATCCAGCCATTTCCAGGTTTTGAAGGACATGACTTATGGACTGAAGCTTTCCCTGAGTTAAGCTGTGTTAACAACACAGCCTTTACAACTTGCAAGAAGTTTAGCATGAAGTCTTGTTGCCAAAAGAGTTATGTTGTGATTTACTGACCAATATAAATACCATGTGATTGGAATAAGACACTCAGAAAAAGAATCCTCTGGTATTTCTTGACAATGGAACACCTGATATCTGCTGATCAGATACTTGCAGTATTTGTGATAACATTTTTAATTCCTTCAGAGTTTACATACATCCAGATCTCACAATCCAGCTAAAAGTAGAACTCATAGGTCTAAGAAGTAATGGACTCTACGTGACAAAATTAGGGGACAATAATTTTCTTACTTTACAAAACTTTATTAAATACCACATGAAAATAGCTTCTTCCTATCTAGTTTTGGTAAGTATCATGCCACTTTCCATCCTCACACACATTTAAATTTACTATCTACCTCTTTGGCATGACCGCAAAGCTTAAACTCCTATATTGTGCAAACAGAGGCAGCACTGGTAAAACCTGTTAAGACCTTATGTTTCTTATGTGCTGCCAAATCTGAAGTGACAGCATCTCTTTTGAATGACATGTGAATTAGAATATGATTGGCATCCTTGGATGCTTTGGTAAAAGTAATTACAGTGCTCTGACTAAATTAATCAGGGTAATTACATGTCTCATTTGAATTTAGCCTGTTAGCTTTTGCTAGAAGAGTTCTTGTTCACTTTATCCTCCCAGTCTTCTTGCTTTTTTCCCCTTCCAGCAGTTACTGAAGTTCAATCCTAGTCAAATCCGTATTTCTCCTCAGGAAATCAAGCATACAGAGAATTAGAATCATAGACAGTTAAGGTTGTAAGGGACCTTGAAGACCATCAGGTTCCAACCCCTTGCTCTAAGCAGGGACACCTTACACTGGACCAGGCTGCGCAAGGCATCATCCATCCTGGCCTTAAACACCTCCAGAGGGGGCTTTCACAGCTTTCCTAGTTAACCCATTCCAACACTTTACTACCCTCATGGTGAAGAATTTCTTCCAGATGTCTAACCTAAATCTACCCTCCTTCAGTTTAAAATCATTCCCCTTTGTCCTATCATTGTCTTCTCTGATTAAAAGCCCCTCCCCAGCATTCCCATAGGCCTCTTCAGGTACTGAAGGCAGACAATTGCAACAAGGCAGTCTATTATTTTGAAGTTTTGTGAAGCAGGATGCACTTGTATATTTTTAAGAGATGCATAAAAAATGTGTTATTCTCATTATTTTGTGCACGTTACATTTTTGCAATTTACAATACAACTTTACCAGGCTGCCTATTTTCTGTATCTTCAGTGAGTTCAACATGAATCCAATATTTTTTCCTCCCCTTCCTCCAAAATACTAAGAAAAAACCCAACCAGCCAACCAAAACCAAAAACACAAAAACAAAACTTACACTAGCTCAAAAATAGACTGTTTTAAGTAAAACGTTTGAAGTTGTTTTTGTTGTTGTTTTTTATTTGTCTTTCCACACAAGTATTTCACAGGCTGGTAATGATACCTGCTATGAGCATACAGCAGGCAGCCTGTGATTTTCTCTCGGCAGCTGTTTTCTCGTCTCACCACGAGATGTCGACGTGATCCATTGGTAGCACCGCATTCCTCCAAGCCAAGCAGCTGAAATTGCCCATGGATCATAGATTGCTTTAGGTTGGAAAAGATCTCAAAGATCCTATTCCTGTCCTTTAAAAATCCCGAAAAGAAACTGAGGCCGTAAGTACGTGCGACAAGCAAAAGACAGCATGGACTGACAAGTGCAAGGCCACAGTAACTAGTTGCCTCAGTCCAGTTTTGCTAAGAAGAGCTCTTTAACACTTCCCACACCCGTCCCTGAGTTCCCACCCTCTCTCAGCACAGGACAAGGCCTTTGACTGCACAGAAATACGTGGAAAGAAAAGCCAAGACACCTAGCTGGTAATGAAGGACATTGATCCTGCTCCTACTGGATCTGCTCTGAAGGTTTAAAGTTACTTCAGTAATTGTTTTAGAATGCATTGCTCGACTGAAACATATGATAGGTATCTGAGGAGCATAACAGAAGAATCAAAAGTGCCTCTGAATTGCAGCACCATATCCCTATGTAAATTTGAAAGCCTGAAAACATATTCTAGATTGCTAGGATGTTTGCATCTCAAGGGCATTTTCTTTTTCCAGTTGACATATTCTCTGTGCTAGCAACAAAGAGATAAGAAAGGCACTGCAAATTCCTGAGCCCTTAGGTGGCAAAGAGACAAGAGGGGACAGGAACAGAGGAGAGACCTGGATGAGAGAGCAGAAAGAGGCTACCCAGCTTCATACTACCAAAATCTTTCTGAATCCTTCTTCTACAGAATAGAGAATGATCCTGTAAACTTCTGCAGAGCTCTGCACATGACAAGAATTTAAAGGGTATTCAAAGCATCTTTCATGCTAATTAGGCCAGACAGTTCCAAGTATGCTTAACATAGACATTTGAAAGACTAACACAACTGTTTCTGGCAATAGATACAGCAGTCCCACAGTGAGATGCACTGAGGTGGTAGTTTCTGTTTTCATTTAAAGTACAGGCAAGTTTACCTTTTTCCAGAGAAGATGGGAATAATTAAAATAAAATAAAAAATACAAAAATGTGATATTCCTGCACAGTACATTTATTAATGAAGTGCAAAATTGAAGTAAAATATGTCAGGCTATCATCACAGAATTCATTAGGGACGAAGATAACTTTCAGCAATCTCTAAAAGCGTAATATCCCAACCAACCAGACATACTGCTTCACTTCAGGGTTAAAGTTTCCTCATCAAGTGAATCATTAGCTAGCAAAACAGAAAACAGCTGCTGAACAGATAATGGGCAATGCTCCAGGTTATTTTTATCACTATTTTAGCAAGTTGTACATTCAGACCTGCATTTTAAGATTATTTCTGGAGGACAGGAGAAGATACAGGAGTTAAATAGAGTAGCATAACTCCTGTAATACTCAATTCAATTGTTAGCCATTAGTGTAAGACAGCTTGAACCTTGTCATATAGCTTTTATGAGTATAAAATAAAACATCAACATTAGAACTTAGAACTTTAATTATAGAGATGTCTCGAAATCTTCCTCAGCTATTGACTCAATATGGAAGTTCATTTCTGATAGCTATCGAAATTCAAATGCCTCTTCTTTCATCAGTCCTTTAGCAACCACTGATCCCATATAAAATTACTTGCCATTTTCATGGTATTGGAAGATGTAATGACAAGAGACGGACTGAGTTCTGACAACAACAGCCAAACAAGAAGGAATAAAAATATCTCCTTTGACTATTTCTAGCATTAGTGCAGCTGAGGGAAATAGAAAGTTTTCACCATCACTTGCCATAGTGCATTCTGCTCTACATTATCAGGCCCAGTTAGAAGAATATTTTAGCAAGCATACTAAAATTTGGAAATGCTTTTCCCTTTTTATTACACTTTTCTCTTAGGTCTTATTAAACAAACTACTAACTCTTGTAGGTATTGTTTGCCATGAGATCACAGAGTAGCAAGATTACACCAGAGAGAGCCTTGAGGTCATCAGTCCTGCTCCGCAGACACATATGGTAGATGGGATCATAGATTCAAGCTGTTAAGCCCCGGAAGATTAATGTTACTTGCTCAATATGATAGCATTAAGTATTTGGAGTTGTCTTTACTATTCTGCTGGAGAAAAACAATTCTGCCCTCTCCTGGAAGCTGTGAAACATGAGCTTTCACTGTAACTGCCTGCACTCTTGAGTCTGACTTCCTGACATGTTGGAGGAGGTTCTGCTGTGTTTGTAGGTCACTAAGATTGCAGACTCAGCCCTTCAAACACCCCTTCTTTGGCAGGGGTGCTTATGGTTCCCTCCTCCCACCAATAATATGGTTAACCATGCCAGTATTTCACCTCTACACAACTTCCTGCAACAAAATACAGTGCCCTTGTTCATTTTATAGTTTATCTAACCTGAAATCTGATCCATTTCTGTGGTCAAGCTAATTAAATCCCTTCCCTCAGTAGCTTTGTATTTCAGTTGGAAGAAATATAGAGTCTGTATCTATTGCTATGTATCCCATGGAAAACCAGAATTGTTAAACTTTCATTTAAATCAAAGAACCTTTCACATTATTTATCTGCTCATCATTCATTATGACAGACAGCATAATATTGCAATAATAGGATATGCATTAAAATTTTGCTTTTACTACTTACGCAGGAAAGCTGTGCATATGTTGAAGCCACTCAAGATCCCAGCACTATAAATAGCGTACTATTGTTAGTGGATAAAATATGAAAGAAGTCTCTGGGCACTGGAGCACAGCACACCCTATTAAATGTTAAGCTCTGCCTGTGCTAAAAGTGAAAGGCGACATCAACTGATAAACTAGTCTGCAGGCAAGGCATATGACTGGAAAGAGTTTGTTCTGACTCTGCAGCTTCCCCACAGCAACACAGGCACAGCAACACAGGAACAGCAACTTATCTTTCTACCTCAGCAATGGCAGAAGGTGTTATAAGACACTGGGTGGAAATTCCCGTACGCTATCAAGAGCAGTTTGCTGTACAAGAGCTGGAAGCACTCAAACTGGATCACTCTTTATATGCTCTGCCAGGCCCTTCTACAGCTGCCCTGAGCAACAGAAGTACAGCTGGGGCTGGGAAGAATGGCCAGGATGAGGGAAACACACGCTTTCAGGTCTTGCTGGATGTTGTGCAGTTCCGCCCCGAAGATATCATTATTCAGACTTTCGAAGGCTGGCTCCTGATCAAAGCTCAGCATGGACCCAGGATGGATGAACACGGTTTCATATCCAGAAGCTTTACCAGACAATACAAATTACCTAATGGAGTAGAGAACAAAGACTTGTCTGCACTATTTTGCCATGATGGCATTTTGGTTGTTGAAATGAAGAACTCAGTGGAAAAGAACTAAACTCTTGTCCATAGTTTATTGGTGAGCTGAAAACATTCTTAATATAACAAAATAATATAATTCAAGCAATGCTGTAGAGTGTACTAAGCATGTTGCTGTATTTGTATTATAGTAAAGGAAAATCTTTGTGTATATTTTTCATTATGCTGAGTTTATCATTTGATGTGAAATGTTAGACTGCTTGCCTCCAGCTACATATATGTCATAAAACCAGGATTTTTGAAGAGAAGAAAGTTTAGGCTAGTCACAGCAAGATAAAAAAATATCTGTTTGATAACATACTGAAAATAAAGCACACTTATGAGTTCAGTATAAGTTGTATTTCTGAGGAATAAGCATTTGTCATGCATAGTCACAATCATTAAAGAAGCAATAGACACGTTGTGAGGCTTATGAAAATTTAATTTAGGTACCAAAAATACTGTTTTCTAATTTTTGATATTAAATTATTCTTCCCTAAGCTCTGGAAAAGCACTCAAATTGAAGGATACTATCAAGAAAAAACCAAAACTTTTACCAAAGTTCAAGCTTGTATACAAAAAAACACTTAAGATATTACTTTAAGAAGTGTGTTGCATGTTTGAAACTATAAAAGAATAATCACTGACTGTATTTGCTTGAAAGAGTAAAAAGAAATCATACTTTCTGTCAAAGACATTAATTTGAAAGAAAACATTCAAAGACATTTAGAAAATTGGTTTTATTTAGCATATTCTGCTATCTCTTAGGAACTGAAGAAAAAATGCATTGCTTAAAAATCAAAAGGATCAAATTCTTCCTTGTGAAGCCTCAGTGTTGAAAAGGCACAGATGGCTTTTCTCTTACACCTTTCAGATAGTCTTGGTTTTCAATCAGATGAATATCTTATTTTTCATGTTTCTTGATAGTTTGTGTCTTAAAGAGCAAATGTTTCTGCCTATGTATAGTGCCACTCTCCCTGCACCGACATGGGATCTACATGAATCTAATTTTATGTGTAAGAGTTCCTTACTACAGACACAGATTTAATTTCTGTCTCGGTTTCTGTCATTTCACAAGAGTGGTAGGGATGAAAAAAAAAAAAATTCCACCCACTATATCTAGTATCTGATCTTCTCAACATTAAAAAAAATAAAAAATAATGCTTTGAGTTTGTAAACACTAAAACATTTGAGGAGATTTGCAGCTGTAAGTTGAACTGCCTCCTTTTATGTGTACTGAGTGTGACTGCTGCGCTATGAATAGTAAAGGAATGTGGAATGGAAAGTGCCAAGTTAAATACAGACTCTTTAGGATAGCCATCTGCTGTTTGGACAAATCAAAAGCATATTAAATGAAACTGAATACAAATACAATTTTAAGAATATGTGAGAAATCTGATGAACAAAACCCAGCCTCTCACTAGCTGAAGCCAGGGGGTTTCTTTAGGTTAAAATGAAAGCCTTGAGCTTGTACTTTTGCACATGTCCCTTCATTAGAAAGATTGGTTCATTGGACTTGCAGGTATTTGAAGAAACTGACTTCAGTCCAATTCTTGCATTTTATTTATTATTTGTGCTAAAACTCATGATGAATTTGTACAATAAATGCAGAATAAGGTCTGGATTAAAGATTTCCATGAAGTGCAATTATTTTATGCTTCTAATAGAGCAGAAGTCAAGAACCTAATGTTTTCTAACAACCCAAACTAAACATAAAACATATGTCCCTACATTTCCTCTTAGCTTACACTTTTCCCTCATATTATCAGTGTTTAGTTTGTGGTTTAAGATAATAAATTACCATGCTAGAAAATCAGATCTAGATTTTCAGCACCTTTAAGTCAAGAAGCATTCTCAGCCAGGAATTTTCTAGAAGATACAACAAGGCTTTTTAAAAATCAGTTCTAGATACCGTCCTGTATTTAATCTTTACATGCCAACTTCGTAAAAGCTCACCAGTTTAAACCCATGTTTGCACATCACCTTATGGCACAGCTTTGGGCATAGAGTTCAGGATCACTACTTAGTAACCCACTTTGGTGATTTTTGTTGGCAGGAGATTTTGTAGACTTGATCACTTAAAATTGGAAGTTATTATAAAAAATATTCTAGATATTATTTCAGGGATGATATTCATAACCCTAGAGTTGAAAAAGCAGTTCTAAAAAAAACATAACTGATTTAATTATTTCAAATTAGATCATGATTAAACTACTGGAAACTTGGCAGGAATTAGAGCAGACAGCCAAAATCATATGATTTTGTATATATATATATAGATATATATATGTATATGTTAATACCATGGTAACACACAGCCCTGCTTATGTATGCATGTCAACCTCACAAAATTGGATGGAGAATTTGGCATTTGCCTATTGTATGTCATACGTCTCTTCACATCACTCCATGCTTGGGTTTGTACTTATTCACAACATCATCAGTTAGAAACTGCTGGAATGTACTGACTTGAACATAGCAAGGACGTACCCAAGAGAATTTCACCTTCCATAGTACCCAGAGCTTTACAAAAGCCTAATGCTTGCTCCATAGTGAATGGGAACTTGCCCTGGCCCAGCAGGTGTAACAGGGACACTGGAGCTTAGAACTGAATGTAAATACCAAGGAGAAAGCTGCTAATATTGTTCATGGCTAGGAGAACTAGAAAGTTATCAGTAGCAAAGGATTTCAGAACAGTTACAGTTTAAAACAGGCTTAAGACATGCTGGTGTCATTAAAGTGAGAGCCTGACCTTGGCTGCCTATAAAACCCTGGCCCAGAATAAGCAATAAATGCTGCTTCAATCCATGCAGAGCCAAATATTATGGAGCCTTCTCTGTTACCAGCACTGAATTGATCAAGCTGCTCCTCCAAATGGATAAGGATGATTTCATACATGAATCTAAGCGCTGTAAGAAATGCTTTTATAGAAGAAGAAAAGGTCTTATTACCAACAGTAGTCTTCAAAAGCAAGGTAAGAAACATATATTTCCCATGTTCCCATGATAGTAGGAATATTTCTGAAAATGTCAGGAGTACTTTCTGTTTTAAAAAGACACTGACCTCTGTCTTGCTGACTCAGAGACAATGCCTGACCCCTCTCATCCAGAGGACAGCATCTTGATGGCCCTGCACTGTGAATGCAGTGGGTAAGTCTAAGAACTTAGACCTGTACGTTACGTCAGACATACCTGAGCTGGTCCCACTCGTGCTGACTCTGGAGCCAGGAGTGCTGTCCGGGTGTGCCAGTGCAGGTCCAGAATGCCCAGACTGTCCATTGCTGTGTTCAGGCTAAAAAAATCATCCTTTGTTAAAAATACCTTTACAAATGGACAGGCAGGAGAAACATGGCACTGCAGCTCAGGACTCCCCAGCCTGGTTAGTGCTAGTGTGGGGGTCTCAGCTCTCCATGCCACAGTGGGATGTAGCCTCTCCACAAATCTTATCTACCTCTTTAAAAAGACACCTCTTTAGCCACGTGGTAATGCTGCTGATGCCAGCATTTTCAGGGGGAAGTATGTCTAGTAGCTGATTGCACAAGTAGAACTGATGCAAGTAGAGAATCATTTACTGTTCCTCTCATGCTCCTTATTGTGTTTACTTATGGGCTGGACATAGCCTCAGTGAGTACCCTTCTTCTGCTGACAGAGCATGCCACTGTGAGCCCTGTGAGAAGCAGCAAAGAGCAGGTCTGTGCACAAAGATGAGACAGGGTGGGCCTCAGCATATAGCCCACAAGGAAGCCCACCAGAGGTGTCTCAGACAAAGAGCCTGAGGGGAAAAGGTATGCAGAAAAAGAATTCAAACTGGTTCAGAATCATAGAATCATAGAATGCTTTGGGTTGGAAGAGACCTTAAAAGATCATCTAGTTGCAACCCCCTTGCAACAGGCAGGGACACCTTCCACTAAGGCATAATATTAAAACTTCCTACAAGAAATACTTAACTTTTCAATAAAATAGAATTTTTAAGAGCTGAGAAAGACTTTAACAGTGATTCTTAAAAGTTTAAGTTGTTAACAGAGAAGGAATACTATACATGGTCTGAACACTTTGTGTGCTAGGATGGAAGAATAAATCACATACTAACTTCATCTAAGTTTCTCTCCAATTGCCCATCTCTTCAGTTTTCCTATCCATAAATTGTACATTCCCATCCTGTAAGCAGAGATATCATAGCAGGATCTCCGAAAGTTTCACTTGCTCTAAGCAGAACTGGGTAACATGGGGGTTTACTTGTGGGTGCCCTATCTGAACTAACAACAGCAAAATTTCTACAGTCTAGTCTTCATCACCTTAACATGGTATACTGATGCACTTTAAACTAGTCAACATGTGCAGTCATCTCTCTTGTTGGCTCTGGAGATGGTTTGATCCAGCAAGATTTCCTCACTCAAGTGCTGCTGTGCAACCTCCAGGGCTGGCCAGCACCTTGCTCCCTCCTACCACTGTACTGATGGAGAAAAAAGCTCTGCTGGCTGCTCCTGCAGCTGGCTCAGGCGTCCAGATGGTACGATGTGAGTGGTTCCTTGTGTGTATGTAACTCCACACAAAGAGTGAGATGGGATCAGAAGACTATTTGGTTCCAGTGGCAATATTTCCTTTGTTATTAGTTCCACTCATCTTCCAGGATATCACACTTAGCTTGGACACTGGAGTTAGCTGTTCCACAGATGCCACAGCAGTCTGGTGGTGTAGGCACTAAGAGCAGAGGTAGCTTTTGTCTGTGTTGAGTGATTTTGAGTTTGGATGTTAGATTTAAGTAAGTCCAAGGCCTAACTAGAAGTCATAGGATTACCTCATAGCTATAATGAAAAAATAATGAAGGAAAATTATTTTCAGAGTTTTTGGTTAGACAAATAAAACCAGAATTATTGTACTCTTTCTTACAAGGCAGACAGAAACTCAAGAGCTACCTGCAGTGGTGACAACTCTATGCATTTTAATAGTATTTCAAGTACATTTTTTTTTAACTTTACCACAGTTATCCAAGTCCTGGTTTCATGATCAAGATGCACCATAAATGCTCTCTCTCTGTCTT